GCAGCGGGGCTTCGACTCGCGCTCAAATCCCTGCTGAGCCCCTGGGCAACCGTTTGAACCAGCATCCGGAGCAGGAGGGAAAGCAGCTTCCCTCAAACCTCAATTTCAGGCACATAAATGATGGTGTTTTGGATAAAAAGCTTGCGTGACCAAGCCCGGAGCAGGATCTGAGCAGCACGGTGCTGGCTGCATCCAACGAGGGTGTTTGGAGCATCAGCTCCAGCCTGATGTGCTTCCAGGGAGAAAAAGGAGCAGGTTATCTCCTCCTGAAGGAGGCATTTAAGAAGGGGCAGAATTGTACCTGCAATTGCCTCTAAGGGCAACGATGCTGCGAAAAAGAGAGTCCTCCAAGGGGACTGGCAGTTTGGGCTTCACAGAACCCCCCCGAAACGTGGCCGTGGGACTCACCTCCGGCTGCTCTTCGCCCTGGGAGTGCTCGGCGAGGATGAACTTGAGAGCGGCGGGTTTGTCGTGGCCGGGCGGGGAGGCGTTGACGAAGATCACCCGCTCTTTCGGCTCCACCATGAGGCAGCTCTTGGCCACGTTCACGGCCGTCAGCATGTTGTCTCCTGGCCGAAAGAGGCGGGGGAGGGTGAGACTGGAGCGGCGTTGGCTAGCCGGCGCTGGCAAGGTCTCGCGTGGCTGGAGGCCAAGAAGAGTGGCTCAAACCTGCCCCATCCCCCCTCCCAGCCACCACAGAGCCACGCTGGGGGGTCCCTTTGCTTCCTTGTGTTTTGGGGCCGAGCTCCAAAAATCTCATTTCTGCCCTACCCCAGAGCGAGGCAGCAGCCTCAAACCCTGGCAGCGCTGCTTGCCTTGCTGCAACCCCCCCAAAGGCGGCCCCTATGTCGTGCCCCCCCGCCGCTCCCCGTTAGCTGTTTGGGGTGCTCGCAAGATACCGCCATTGATGTGATCCAGGAGTCCTTGCTGTGCCTCCCAGCTGCTTCAGGCCACCAATTTCTGGTGGAGAAACCCTCCACGCCTTGCACAACGTCAAGGGTTGTCCATGTCCCACCTCTTCCCCGAGCCCGGTGTCCCCGTTTCCCTCCGCAGGGTCACCTGTCACCATGACGGGGCGGATGTTGGCGTTCCTCAGGAGGTGAATCACGGGCGCAGACTCCGGCTTGAGGACGTTTTTCATGACGAGGAACCCCAGGAAGGTCAGGCTGCTCTCCACGGAGTCCCTGGTGGGATACAACGAGCTGTTCAACACCATCTTCAACACAAGGCAGAGAGGATCACCTGGTAAAACAGCTAAAATATCCACCTGAGGGGCAGCCAGGAGATGCTTTAGTATGGGTTACGGTTCAATTCCTTGCAGGCTGCTAGGATGGGGCAGGCTGCAGGGCAGCAAAGCATCCCGTGAAACGCTCGGAGCAAACAGGATCTCAACGGAACAAAAAAAAAACCCCAACTGTGGGCACCAACCTCGGGAGCTGCAGGGCCTCCTCGAAGGTGGTCACCGTGCCCAGGGGTTTGCAAGCCAGACCCAAGACTCGGAAGCCATCCGTGGTGTAATGTCGCAGCATCTGGGAGAAATCCACGGGCACTGCCAGCCGCGAGGGGAAAAGCAGGGTCAAGACAGCGCCTGAACGAACCCCGGGCTGTGTAATTCGGTGAGGGGAGCGGGGGCTCGAGTTCCCAAAGGTCTGAAGGGCTTTGGATGCTCAGCCGGACTCCAACCCCCTTCCCTGTCTTCTGGCTCCTATTTTTCTTCCCCCCACGTGGCTGGAGCTAATCCAAAGCTTCCGGGAATAGCCCCGCAGGATAATTCCCCGCGGGGATGC